ACAGCAAAGATACTAGAAATACAAGATAGAGTTCTCGCATTGTAAAAATGAGGCGGAAGTCGTGCCCAACGTAGGCGGCGCCCTTCTTTTTATCCATGCAAGTTTCCTATACTTCGTGCCCAACGTACGGGGCGCCCTTCTGTTGCTAAGTATATCCAGACGGTAAAGGCGCCCTTCCTTTTCCACTAATGGAGGAAAACTTTTTCACTAAGAGTGCGTCCGGCCATGCGATTCTGCCATGTATTGTTGTTTTATTCTTTACTGATTCATGATTATGCTTTAATTGTTTTGTGTATTATTTGGATAATAGCAACGATTTTTACCACCACCAAGGAGGTTATGTATTCACCGATGTCACTGTCTGGGTGTCTTTCCAGTTTATTTTTATATCTAGTATCTTTGTTGAGAATTGATAATAAAATATGCGACGACTTGGTAACGAAAGTTTGGCACAAGTTTTTTTAGATCCAGCTGTAGGGGGCGTCCCATTTTTCGTATTCCCACCATGCATTTCGGTGGAACATAGTGGAACACTTTTTTTGTGTGGAGAACTCTATCTTGTATTTCTAGTATCTTTGACTACAGCAAGCGAGCTAGGAGTTGAATTCGTTTTACTCTCCGAAGGCTAAGGACCATGGAATAATTATAATCTTGTTAATTCGGTACCAGGCCTAGTTTAGTAGTTGATATGTAATTCGGACAACCTACAACTAGCCTAGGCCTACTAGTACTTACCCTAGGCCTCTAGGCCTAGTCATAATATTCTTCCGAGTTTTCCCGAGATTTCTCATGGTTTGAAAGTGCATGTGTGAAACGAACCACAAATCTCGGAATATCAAACTTGTTAATAGTTGTTAAAAGTTGTAATATTTTCTGCTAGTGTGAAATGGGTATTATACGCACGACATTCAGATTTTAGATTTTTATATTCATGTTCGTCTTATGTGCGGATGTTCGTCTTATGTGCGGATCGTCCGTAAATCTGGTTTTCTACTAGGCGAATTTATTCACGCGAATCCAAAGCGTCGGCTTATGCACATGCACATTCACATTCCTATCGGAGTTTTTGAGAAGCGAAAAAATGCGCAACCAATCATCAGAGCTCAGGAAGCGAGCCGACTCTTTGATTCGCGCGAATAAATTCGCTTAGTGATTCCTACTTGTAGTGAACTGAATCTAAAATATATTCATGAAGTTATGATGATCTGAAGTGTTTGAAAACGTACACAATAATAGTTGAACCAACTTTAAAATACTGTACCACAAACACAAATTGTGCGTGACGATATTGTATTGCTTTAGAAATGATTTCAAAAAGTATATTAGTCCATCGTATACGTAAGGGCTTGTATTGTTTTTTTTACTTGCAGCGTTTGGGAAATAGGTAGGCCTAATAGGTAAATTGTAATGAATATAATCAATAACTATAGCCTCTAAAACCTAATATTATTGAATGGTCCTTTTAAAGTTTGAATATGATTTTTTAAAGTTAATTTTTTAGATCATTATACCTATTGAATGAGCCCCCAATAGCCCCGGGCCCCAGTGCTGTGCACTGACTGCACTGCCCATACCTATGCCACTGGACCTGAGTATTATTAGTGGTTACATTTTGCTATGCACTGTATCATGTGCTATAGAAGTGGAAGACCATAATGCATTGGGAATGTACCTCTCTCTGGTAGGGCCTACAGTACAATCAGTTTAAAAGTGTAAGGTATAGGATAGTGTGGATTTTTAAACATTTTTCTAATGGTAATGTTCAAAATAAGTGTCAAGGAAAGTAAGTATGATTGTTGGAAAAAATGGTCAACATTTTATTTTGGGCGAAGTGGACGAAGGCTGGATCCGCGTCTAGTTAGCATGAATTTTGTAAGCCAGAACCCATAGTGTTTTGTTACGTTTTTTCACAGAGGGGAGAACGAACCCCCCCCCCCCCCCTGAACCCCCTGGATCCGCCACTGTGATTAGAATCAAATATAGAATTTAAGCTAACAAAAACAACACATCCAAAACAAGTCTGTTATATTAGGCCTGTATTGAAAAAAAAAATGTAAATTCAAAAATTCTGCCAAATTCGACCAAATATAGTTTGGCCGTGACTTTTCAAACGTTACGGTCAGGCAAATTTTTATACGGCCAGATTTGAGGAATCTGGATGTCAAAAAGGCCAAGTGGCAAGCCTGAGTGTGACCAGTGATGCAACATCAAATTATGCCGAGGCTGATGGGAAATTATGCCAAATGGTAAATTTCGAATAGGCGCCTCCCCAAATGTTCAATTTTGAATAAGCGCCAACTGCATAAGCTCCAAATTTTCAACTTTTAAAAATGCAAAAAAAAACCCATTTTCAATACATTTTTTTCTTCAGTGAGAACTTAATATATTGTTGTTATAACCCGGATCTGTGTGCTTTGGTGGCATACTGTGTAGGCTATTTCCAATGAAGGGTGTTTATTCAGTATTGCAATTGTATACAAAAACATTTAAAATATACTTTCTCACATAGCTACCCCTCAAAAACCTTCCTGAAATAAAGGATGGTATGGGAGGCAAGTAGACAGCAACGACAAAAGCGATACACTTTTAAAAGAAGAGCAGTAATGAATTTGCAAAACAAAAAACGTTTTTTTTTTTTTTTTTTTTTTTTTTTTTTTTTATGAAACATGTACTGTTTGCATTGTAGTGATACACAGGTAGGCATTAAAGTAGCCTATCATAATTTGAGATTATGGAAAAGTAAAACATTGTACTATAATATAATACAATGTTTTACTTTTCTACTCACCGGGATTTGTACTGCTATTATACTTAGCACCATTGACCTTTAAAACACAATGTCTATCTTGCTCAGATTATCATTTATATTTTGGAAATTTTGATATTTGAACCATATAAAGTTTTATTATGAAGTTTTATTATACAGTATATATTGCCACAATGATAGAATACCGTAATAAACAAAATTTGAACACAGTATTGACTAAAACGTATAGTGCGATAGGCCGGTAGGCTTAACTTTTTGTTTTTGGCATTGTTTTATTCATAGCTTTGAACAAGCAAAAATGGAAACCTACAAATGCAATAAGTACCTTAAAGATAGAATTTATTGACACGGGCGGACCTGGTTTCACATTTGGGGGTGAGGGGTGTGGGGGCCGTGTCAATTTTTTTTTCAAAAAAGAAAGGGGTCTTGCCCTGGAAAAATTTTGATTCCTAGAGAGTGGGAAATGAGCTTTCCAGATTTCTCATGCATTTATGTGTGTATATATGTAGGCCCTACATAATTTTGAAAATATTGATCGCCAGATGGCATGAAATTAGCTTTCTTGAATTCTCAAGCTGTCTTTTAATGGCTTGAAATTCTTGAAATTTTA